CTATTGAGAATTATCTATTTAGTCCTTTACCCCATTTTTAATTGGATTGTTTGGTGTTTTGGAGACTCGCTTCTTGAGTTCTTTGTATATTTTGGATATCAGCCCTCTGTCAGATGTGGGGTTGAAGAATATCTTTTCCCAGTCTGCAGAATGCCATTTTACCTTGTTGACTTGTGTCCTTAGCCTTACAGTAGCTTCTCAGTTTCAGGAGGGCCCATTTATCAATTGTTGATCTCAGTGTCTGTGCTACTGGTGTAACGTTGAGGATGAGATTTCCTGTTCCAATTAGTTCAAGGTTATTTCCCACTTTGTCTTCTAATATATTTAGTGTGGCTGGATTTATGTTGAGATCTTTGATCCATTTGGACTTAAGTTTTGTGCATGGCGATAGACATGGTTCTATCATTCCAGCATACAGTTATGCCATCACCATTTGTTGAAGATGCTTTCTTTATTCCATCATATAAATTTAGCTTCTTTATCAAAAATCAAGTGTTCATAGGTGTGAATTAATATTGGAGTTTTCAACTCTATTCCATTGGTCTGTCTATTTTTGTGCCAATACCAAGCTGTTTTCAGGACTATAGCTCTGTAATAGAGCTAGAAGTCATGGTTTCTCTGTGTAGCTTTGTAGACCAGGCTGGTCTCGACCTCACAGAGATCTGCCTGCTTCTGTCTCCCAAGTGCTGGGATTAAAGGCTTGAGCCACCAAGGCTGGCTAAATTACAGATTTTTTTGACTACTATTGTTAACATAAAGAATGTAAGGTTACTTACCATAGAAATAGATAATATTTAATGTATATATTTGAAAGTTAAAATATGACTGGACAGCTGTCTTCTATATCTGTGTAACTACACATATAGATCAGTACTACTCATAGCTATAATAAAGAAGCTTCTCGTGTCAGTAACCATTGATGAAGAGACTTTTACTGTACAAATGAAGAAAAAGTGACAGGTGAGTACCGAGTATTAAATGAAACATTAATATCACCCTCTAACAAGACCCAGTTAACACTGCAGAAGACAGGCAGCTGAGGCATTGAGAAAAATAAAATGAAACATTGATTTCTTGGTCGTGTCATGTATGTCAGAATAACTATGGCTACTTGCACAAGACCTAGAAAACCACAAACACATGTGCATGTGGGGATATGGCAGGAGTTAGGAGGAGCCAGCATGAATTTCAGGAAGATGAGGGAAAATAAGATGGTAATTATTACAGTGGCAAATGCAGTCACAATACCTTGTATGTAATATAAATGACCTCTTTAGGAATGAACTCTTAATAGTCACTTATTCTGTCCATTTACTATTGTCCCATTGAGAATAGAGACTTCTCTGACCAAATCTGAAAGCAGCACTAGTTCTATGGCTATAAATGTACATTGTATATATGAATAAAATTTGAAAAGATATTTTAGACTGAAAGCTGTAATGCCTCCACATTCCTATAAATATGTTACACTATGAACCACAGCATTAGATCTTCATGAATAGTAAATCAGTAAAATTTGTATTTAAAATTAAATGCATATTGATTACTAGTAATGAAATCATATAGGAAGACATATTCATAATAAAAGATAAACAAAATAGGAAAAGGTTAACAGTAAATATTTATTCAGCTGTTATTAATAATCACAAACACAAGCCAATAGGAAAAAAAAAACAATGTGAAATGCAGACACACAGTCACTGGTTCAAAAAATAGTTATGATAGTATCTGGAGTATTGATATAGTATAATGTCAGTCTTTGAAAGAGAGTAAAACAGGGAAATGTCCACGTGTTTAATGTTAGTAAACTAAAGAGTTTTTGAAAATAAACATACTTGAATATATGTAATAAATCAATGTGATTCTAAATTAATAGCATGTATTTCATAAAGATAATATATAAAAGTATAATTCATTTCCATATAATTGTAAGAGATCAACAACAAAGCTAAACACTTAGTATAATTACATTATTTAGAAACAATGTTTATACCCATTTCTGAAGGATCCTACACACCTAGAGTCCTGCCTCCATTGAAAGGACTAGATAGGCTTGGTCCAACAAATCCTTAACACAAAATATCCAAGAAATATGGGATACTGTGAAAAGACCAAACCTAAGAATAATAGGTATAGAAGAAGATGAAGAAACCCAACTCAAAGATGTAGAAAACATATTCAACAAAATCATAGAATAAAAAAACTTTACCCACCTAAAGAAATACATGCCAATGAAAGTACAAGAAGCCCATAGAACACAAAATAGAGTGGACCAGAAAAAAGTTACCTCCTCATATAATAATCAAAACATGATTGATCAACAAGTCCAATGAGTACTTCTTGTGTTTGATGTTGTGGTTTTGATAGATGGTCCATGGCTGTTGGGGGTAGTATTTTCAGCCAGATGAAAAAATGTTGATATATATATATATATATATATATATATATATATGTGTGTGTGTGTGTGTGTGTGTGTGTGTGTGTGTGTATGTGTGTGTGTGTGTATGTACATACATATACATACATATAATATATTTATATATATATACATATATATACACAAGTTTGCATGATGTATATGTATTTTTAGGTAAATAGTTAAAAGTATGTTTTCTTATGGCATATTCAGAGTCCTTCTTGTTATTGGACCTTCCTATACTTCTTCTGTATTTATCTTCTATGCTTCCCCAATTAGAGACTGTTTCCCCAATAGATCACTTGTACACTGCAATTTAATTCTCTATTGCTCCCTACTCCCTTAGACTCTAAAAGGTCCCTTTTCTCTTGCTTGCTTTTTTTTCAGTTACTCAAGTTAACATCTGATGATTTACAGTTGGGATATGAGAAAGAACATAAGGGATTTGTCATTCAGTGTCTCAGTTACCTTACTAAACATGATTTTTCCTAGGCTTGCATATTTTCCTGCAAGGGTTCTGATTTGATTTTCTGATATCTAAATGGTATTGCATTGTGAATATGTATCATGCTTTTTAACCCATTGTCAAGTGAAGAACATTTATGTTTTGTTTCTGGTTTATTTCACAAGAGTTGCCAATAGAGGTATAATGAACATGGCTGAGCAAGTGTCTATGTGGTATCATGTCAAGTCCTTATGATATGCATGCCAAGGAATGAATGTGCCTCTGTCTGTCCAAAATAAGATGTCTATTGTCATTATATTATTCAGCTCATGTTTAAGCAGTCACTTCAGTACAATTTTATGAGTGTAGCTACAGATATCTAAGGTGACATCATCTCACAGCGAAACCCCTTTTCCTCTGGCTCCTCCAACCTTTCTTCTCTCCCTTCTGAAATGATCCCTGAGCCATAGATGATGGAGTTGTTTTGAAAATGAATCAATTGGCCCTGGACTCCCCAACAGATCCACTTTATTGGTTGTAGTTTTCTGTTATGATATTTTTCTGCTGCAAAGGATAGTTCCTTGATGAGAAGAGAGAACCACACTTATCAGTGAGGATAGGGACACATGCTCTATTGTTTTTACTAGGCAGTTTTAACCACAGCAGAATAATTTCTTCAATTTAAAATTTTTATTTCTGAAAACTATACTATTCTATAAGCACAGTATCATTTCCAAAGTAAGCACCTTCAAATTAAAAATAATGCCTTTGAGCTATACTACTTTAGAATGCCCTGATGTGAACAGATTGTTATTTAAATACTTCATACACTTAATGTATTAATGAGTATATGAATTCATGTAGTGCATCAGAAAAATAGCACATTTATTGCATTCTTCTTTATAGGGTTTCCAAGGGAAAAGTAAACCCTTTGCTGAATTAGTCCTTTGACCTCAGTTATTGAATGCTTGCCAAGAAATCCATCTTTGAAAATACCCCCTGAGAATGACCCTGTTACGTGATGCTCATGATGTTACCTGATTTGTCCTGGAGTCATGAAATACAGACAAAAAGCAGAGACTGCTCTACTCATATTCACACTAGCTCATTGAATAAATTTGTACCATAAATTCCTTTAAAAGTTGATTTTGACAAAGATCTGAAGAAAGTACCAAGAATAACTTATTTTTGAAGTTTGTAAAAAAATGACTTTACAAAAAAATATAAACAATAATCAAAAGGAATACAAAATCTCTAGGCTTGACATATTCAAATCCTCAATTAGATTTTCTCGTTCGTTTGTGAGAAAATTTGGGAGTTGAATATTTTCAATCAAATGATATCAGAAGTATTTTGCCTCCATTTTTTCTACCAACCTTGGCAGAGTAAGTATTTTTAGAATTGTTAAGGTTTGAAGCAATTAAAACAAAGATAATATTAAAAATGCAAGTGCATGTGTCATTTGGCACTTAAAAAAGTAATTCAAGATTGTCACAAACTTATAATTGGTAGAAGGATATTATACCAGTGAGGATTTATAGTTCAATTAAATAATTTTACATAAAAATTGTTTTGAATTTTCCAAAGAAATAACCCATCTTTATTAATAGTTATTTATCTTAACATAGCCTATTACAATTCAGTAAAAAGTAATTAGGGTTAATTGATATTGATAAAAGCCGGAAATGATGCATTAAAGTTGTTTTCTATTTTGTTCATTAAATGTGCAGCATTTCATTTAGACTTACTGAAATAAGAGTGTGACTAATATCCGTGGTATCTGACATTTTTAGCATGATCTTAGAGTCTACATGAGTTTGTGCTGAGTTCACATAAATTAACTCAATTCTATGCATCTTATATTTCTGTAAAATAAGGGGATGCTATTACCATGTACATGGTAACATTTAATATGGGTTGAATTCATGAAATTAAATTATTTAAACTTGCAACAATTTTTGAAATTATTCCACACATTATCCCTTATAATAACACAATTAAATGTCATTTTGTACTTCTCATTGGTAATCAAATTATTTACTGCTGTATAGTATAGTTATAAAAGTAGAGTTACAAAGATGCACAAGAATAAATTGCATCATAAAACCTTTGATTTCTCATTATTTAGGGTCATTCACTATGAACACCTTTAATCACACAAATAAACCTGACTTCATCCTCATGGGACTAACAGACTCCAAAGAGATCCAGTTGGTCCTCTCTGTGCTGTTTCTTCTGATATACGTGGTCACTGTGCTGGGGAACCTAGGCATGATACTGATCATTCGTCTAGATGTCCAGCTTCACACTCCAATGTATTTCTTCCTCATCCATCTCTCGTTCCTTGACCTCAGTTACTCGACTGCCATCACACCTAAAACCTTACAGAACCTGCTTACTTTGAACAGGAGCATTTCTTTCATAAGTTGTTTTACCCAATTGTACATTTTCATCCTCTTGGCAGCTACTGAATGTTTTCTGCTTTCCTCAATGGCCTATGACCGCTACATTGCTATCTGCAAACCTTTACATTATCCAGTTATTATGTCTTCACGATGCTGCCTTGCCCTGCTCACTGGGTCCTACATGACTGGAGCTGTGGATTCCTCTGTTACTGTGTTTGTCATGATTACACTGCATTTCTGCAAGTCCAATGTTATCCATCACTTTTATTGTGACACATCTCCACTTTTATCTCTGTCCTGCAGTGACACACATGTAGTTGAAATAATTATATTCATTTTTGCAGGCTCCACCATTCTTGGGTCCCTTATTACAGTATCTGTATCCTATGTGTCTATTCTTTCTACTATTTTAAAGATCAATTCCACTTCAGGAAAGCAAAAAGCCTTCTCCACTTGTGCCTCTCACCTCCTTGGAGTTACTGTGTTTTACAGTACTCTGATCTTTACCTATTTAAAGCCAAGTGAATCCTACTCATTGGGAAAGGATCAAGTAGCTTCTATTTTTTATACCATTTTGATCCCCATGCTAAACCCACTCATTTATAGCCTCAGAAACAAGGAAGTGAAAGGTGCTGTTGTTAGATTAGTGAAGAAGAGACAAGGAAACAGGGAGTTAAGATAAGAGTGATAGAAACAGTCACCTTGTTTCCATTTGCATGCTATCTTACTGACTGTCTAAAACAATTACAATTAATTTTACTGTTTATATTTCTCTGGGTCTTTCCCCATATAAACATGTATTGGGAATTCCCCAAATGTGTTTTTAGATTTCAGTTTCCCTGGCTGAATTTCAGGGAGCAAATATTAAACACATGTGTTTTTTATTTTTAAGTAATAGTAATTTACAACATAAAAAACCCATTTGACATTCTTAAAACTGTATCATCTCATGTCTATAATTCCAGAAATCAATCATAGTATACTATGTAATATATTATTTGTTAATTCTTGACAATGAACTAAATTTACTATTCAGTTTCTTTAGCAGTACACAACAAATAATATTTCCAGGTGCATGTAATAAAATGGTGGAAGTAATGTTCATAAGGAACTAATACAATCCTGTTTATTATTAGGGAGGAATTCTGTTTCTGATGTATTTGAAATAGTGTCATTTCTTGAAGAATATTCACTGGTATTTTATAAATTACTTACAGACAATTTAATTCACAGACATGCAATTACATTAAAAAGAGTACATTCAATTGTTTCAAAATTTGAGTTTTACATAAGAGTCTGAAGCAGCTTGGCTGTGGTGACACACGTCTTTAATCCCAGCTCTTGGGAGTCAGAGGTAGGGGGATCTCTGTGAGTTCGAGACCAGCCTGGTCTACAAGGGCTAGTTCCAGGATAGCCTCCAAAGCCACAGAAAAACCCTGTCTCGAAAAACCAAAATAAGAGAGAGAGACTGGAGCAGTAAAAGTTATATGATATTCATGTTCTGCAGGAGTCATGATGTGACAATTTTGAAAATATTTAAAGTTCATAAAGAAGGGAAACTAAATTATTGACACTTAGAAACAATTTTCTCTCAGTAAATAATGAGTATTTGTCAGTGAATGTCATAAAGACACAAAATTATCTCTGACCTTTTTATAGCATTATTTATTCACTTCAAAGCTTACCACAGTAAACTGAGATGACTATCTCCTCAGTGGCTGGTACAAATAAGTACTAACATCTTAAGTTGCTTTAGACATGATGATATACTATCAATCTATCAAGTTCAAAATCTGCATGAAGTAATGTTTGCTTTTGTGTATACCTATTAACCCTTTGAAACTCATATAATCCTTAAACTTAATTACTTGCAATACCTAATGTTTTATACTGTATATTATTTTATACTGTAAATTATGCATGTACAATTGTTTTTAAATAAATTCTTTAATTAAATAGCCAACATTTATTTTATTATGTTTTGTCCGTGTGAATGCATGCCTGTCTCCTATATCAATGTTCACATCATGTATATGTGTTTGTGTTTGTTTGGTTGCATGTATGCCTGAGGGTTCGTGGGAAGGGGAAGACCAGAGGTTGATGTCAGTTTTCCTCATATATTTTTCTCCACATAAGTTTTTGAGACAGGTTTCTTACTGAACTTAGTACTCACCTTATGAAGATGCATAAGTCTCTCTGCTAGCCAACACTAGGCTTTCAGATATGTGACTATTTTCTAGCATCCTTATGTTGATATGAACTCACAGAAACAGTAGGCTTAGGCTTGTGTGGCAAGATTTACGAACTGAGAAAGTCTCTATTTTTATATTTAAAACACATAACACACCAAGGCATATATTTATCAATTAATTTCAATTTTCATGAACAACATGAGCTTTGCCAGACACAGGATTAACATTTTCTTTATTTAAAATCTTCTAAAATGTATGCAATCCCCCTATTTTCATAACCTAGACCACATACTGTCTATATTCTATATAAGTACTATAGGAGCTTATGGTTTATTTTTCTTCTGGTATCTGTGCTGTCTAGAATCTGTTTTTAATATTCTTGTTAGTTTAATTTTGTAATTAGGAATAATAACTTAAAAGAATTTATTGTTTATACCTTTATTAGTTTTTGTCATTTTTGTCCCTGAATCTCTCATATACTATTTCAGGTTTATGGGCTACTTTTTTGTTTTCCATTCCTTTAACTTGTAATTTTACCTTTCTTTCATGTACATTTGTTTCTTCAAATCAGAAAACTTATAGTACTTGATTGTGTTTGCGACACAGGTGAACAGTTCTATAATATTGTAGGTGAGATCTGAACTGAAAAGAATCTTATATTTTAATTAAAATAAATACAAAACTACCTATGTTCTCCACAGCACAGGTCACAACAGGTTATGTGTTGTTACATAATTGAAACTTCAAATCAATATAAAATGTTTGCCTTTTTAATAAACTTTGATCATATCTTTATATACTATACTTCAAATAAGTCAATATGTGAAATACTTTAAGCAATAATACCCCAGATAAATATGTCATACCTATATCTGTTTGTGTACTGACATAAAAATGCTTTTTATTGAAAACAATTTTCATACAGTATATTCTAAATAGGGTTTTCTAACTTCCCATTCCTAAAAATGACTTTTAAAGATGGCACTACACCATGCAAAATATTGTTCTTGTTGTAAAATAAATTAACCTATGATTGGACACCACACAAATCATTACCAATCATAAGGACACACTTTAATGTTAGACAATACAACAAACCGTATGTACAATTTTTTATTCATTTTTGTGTGATTGAAAAGCTTATGTTCTTTATATTGAAAGTAATTTTTATAAAATATATGCTTATTATTTTCCCACTCCAAATCCTCTTATATCCTCCCCTCTTCACCGCCCACCCAAATCCAAACTCTTTCCTTACAACCACAACAAATAGAGAATAGAACACAAATATTTTAAAATGGCCTAAAACACAATAAACACATACAGAAACAGAGACACACATATTCATTCACATAGAAAATCACAAAAAACACAATACATAGGCAAAAGACTAGTAATGTAAAAAACAAAAATGCCCAGACAAAACATCATGAGACAAAATTTCTAAATACATAGTTGTTTTCAGGTAGGCATGGGACAGATTTATAAGTGTGGTTTGTATGCCAATGGAAATCCCATTAAAGAAGTTTAATTTTTTCTTTGTCAACGGTTACTAATTGGAGATAGGATCTGATTCTAGAATGAAGGCTTGTGACCATTTACCCTCTCAGATTTAGGGCTCTATCTGGCTTAAACATTTCTAGGCTCTCTGCATCCTGCAACTCCCTCTGTAAGTTAATAAGTACATCCGTTCTGCTGTATCTACAGGGCCTTGTTTACTTGATGTCTTCCATCACCATTGTCTCTTACAATCATTCTGCCCCCACTTCCACAAAGTTCTCTGAACCCTGGGGGAGGGGTCCTGTATGACTAAGAGGGACAAATCATACTTAGTATACGTATATTCCTAATCCTTCAATTAATATATGAGTAAGTTAGGGAGACATGGATATTCCTGTGCTGGTCAATGAATCTTCTTGTCTACCTGATCCTTATGACTATTGTGGCCCACTAACCCAGCAAGATGTGTAAGGAAATTTTAAATTATACTCTGCAAGTAAAAGAAATTCCTACTTGACTGGGTGATGGAATTCACTGTTTAAATATACCTTCTGAGATTTAGCTTTCTATAATTGAAGATAGTCCAACTCAGAATTCTTATGGAAAACTTCTTATGTTTGGTGAATGTGCATTTAAGGGACAAAAGATTAATGCCACTATTTCTATAAATTTATCATCTTACAAATTGTGAATCACTAACAGGAAATGTGATTGGATATATAGGCAGCAATGTACAGTTGAGAATTTCCAAGTGCTTATTAATATCTCCCAAGGAGAAGTCATTGATTTGAGCCCTTATGGCTCCTCTCAAGGACTGTATTCTCACTCAGAATTGATATGACAATGGTCCAATTGAAATAAAACTATGGAAGTTGTCTCCACTTTTAGAGAATGTTTTGAGTGGCATGAAGTTGAAACGTCAAACCCTTGATTACAATTTGGTAATTCTATTCAGACTAATTTTTGGATATTGGCAAGTACTTTTCACCCACTTTATGCATGGAACAGAAAGTCAAAATTTAACAATGACAATTTCATTTGTTTTTTTTATTTAAACCAAGTTTATACATTTATGGCTTGTGTAGGGACCTTATTTATTAGTGAAAGACCTGTCAATGACACCGTAATAACTACAGTATCATTTGTATATGCTGTACTCTTCACACCTGTGTCAATGCTAGTATGTTTTTTAGATGTTGCTCTTGTGTTCTCAGTACAAGCCCAGCTATCTGGATGCCTGTAAAGTTGTTGAGACCATGACAAGATGCATCTCCGAGGATGATAGTATAGAAGATGATGTAAGAATATTAAGAAAAACCCAACAGATGGTGGAATTGATAATTACTTAATTGATGTAGTCCTGGGAATCATTGCATTAACAGTTACTACTACCACAGCTAGAGCTATTCTTCATAAAGAGATTCAAACCACTGAATTGGTTAGAACAATGTATACATTCTCCTGAACTTTGGACACAACAAAATAAGACACATATGGAAATACTTGATGAAATAGATGAAAAACTTATTGGAGATGAGTTGGAATTACTGACAGTACAAATGTAATTGAAACATGATTGTAATGTTTCTTCTCATTGCATTACACCTTCAAGAGTCACTTATAGCAAATATAATTGAGAAAATGTTAAAATGCATTTGTTGTGCCATCCTAATTCTTCTAAAAGATTTATGATATGCAGCAAGAAATTTTAAAAATATCTTTGTTGGGAGCCATAAAGCTTGGTATGAACCTTTAGGCCAAACTTGGCAAGCCATGCGGTTATAGAACAGTCTTTTGATTATAAATGGTTTCTAGAAGCATGAGCACCCAGAAGGAACAACTTGACCCAGATGTCAATCCTTTATTCCAACCACAAGCCCATTTACCTAAGCAACCCTCCCTTGTCCCACAACTTACCTAGGTAAACCTCCCTTTCCTGACCACACTTTTTACCCCTAAGCTCTTAAAGACTGCTTTTTCACCATTCCCT